ATACATACTTGGGATTGAAAATACAGGTCAGATCCAGCATCCGAAGCAAGTCAGGTATTGTCCATCCCTAGATGCATCATCCATGCAAGTTTGGTTCAGGTAGGACTTACAGTTACTTAGGAATGAAAATATAGGTCAGATTCAGCATCCGAAGCAAGTTCGGTGGTGTCCATCCCTAGATGCATCATCCATGCAAGTTTGGTTCAGGTAGGACTTACAGTTACTTAGGAATGAAAATATAGGTCAGATCCAGCATCTGAAGCAAGTTTGGTTGTGTCCATCCCTAAATGCATCATCCATGCAAGTTTGGTTCAGGTAGGACTTATAGTTACTTGGGAATAAAAATATTCGTCAGATCCAGGATCCGAAGCAATTCTTGTAGTGTCCATCCCTAGATGCATCATCCATATAAGTTTGGTTCAGATAGGGCTTATAGTTACTGAGGAATGAAAATAAAGGTCAAATTCAGCATCCGAAGCAAGTCTGGTAGTGTCCATCCCTAGATGCATCATCCATGCAAGTTTGGTTTAGGTAGGACTTATAGTTACTTGGGAATGAAAATATAGGTCAGATTCAGCATCTGAAGCAAGTCTGGTAGTGTCCATCCCTAGATGCATCATCCATGCAAGTTTGGTTCAGGTAGGGCTTACAGTTACTTGGAAATAAAATATAGGTCAGATCCAGCATCCGAAGCAAGTCTGGTAGTGTCCATCCCTAGATGCATCATCCATGCAAGTTTGGTTCAGGTAGGGCTTACAGTTACTTGGAAATAAAATATAGGTCAGATCCAGCATCCGAAGCGAGTCTGGTAGTGTCCATCCAAAGATGCATCATCCATGTAAGTTTGGTTCAGGTAGGGCTTATAGTTACTTGGGAATGAAAATATAGGTCAGATCCAGCATCCGAAGCAAGTCTGGTAGTGTCCATCCCTAGATGCATCATCCATGCAAGTTTGGTCCAAGTATGGCTTAATATAGTTTCTTAGGAATGGACATGCTCTAAAAACTTTAACCTGGTCACTCATCTGGAAAATGTAGGTCAGATCCAGCATCCGAAGCAAGTCTGGTAGTGTCCATCCCTAGATGCATCATCCATGCAAGTTTGGTCCAAGTATGGCTTAATATAGTTTCTTAGGAATGGACATGCTCTAAAAACTTTAACCTGGTCACTCATCTGGAAAATGTAGGTCAGATCCAGCATCCGAAGCAAGTCTGGTAGTGTCCATCCCTAGATGCATCATCCATGCAAGTTTGGTCCAAGTATGGCTTAATATAGTTTCTTAGGAATGGACATGCTCTAAAAACTTTAACCTGGTCACTCATCTGGAAAATGTAGGTCAGATCCAGCATCCGAAGCAAGTCTGGTAGTGTCCATCCCTAGATGCATCATGCAATCAAATGCATAGTTTGGTCCAAGTATGGCTTATAGTTTCTTAGGAATGGACATGCTCTAAAAACTTTAACCTGGTCACTCATCTGGAAAACGTAGGTCAGATCCAGCATCCGAAGCAAGTCTGGTAGTGTCCATCCCTAGATGCATCATCCATGCAAGTTTGGTCCAAGTGGGGCTTATAGTTCCTTAGGAATGGATCTGTTCCAAAAACTTTTACCTGGTCACTCGTCTTGAAAATGTCAGTCAAATCCAGCATCCGAAGCAAGTCTGGTAGTGTTCATCCCTAGATGAACCATAGCTCTCATCAATATCTATTAGCATATGAAGTTTGATGAAAATATCTTGGATAGTTTCTTTGAAACTTAACTTTGAACAGAGCTAAACGCAAAGTGTGACGGAAGGACGGAAGACGGACATGACAAACACTATATGCCCCGGCCATATTCATGGCGGGGCATCATAACGAAAAAGTATAAATACAATTGCTTTATCCATTAAGCGAACGTTGTCTTTTTTACTGGTTACGAATTGATGATTTTACCTTTATATATTAATTTCCAGATTTTTTACACTTTAAACCCATTGGTTATCAATGTAGATAGGGTCACTCGTGGTCATGATGCGACCACTCTTTAACTATCTCGTAACATTGGTATTTTTTTTTTTTATAAATGACGGCTTTTTTATTCTCCCCCTCCTAAGGCTGCTGGAATGACTTACTGAAGCTTACTGCGTATTCATTTTCTTCATGCAGCTTTTTCCGGGAAACTTTGACATTATATCTCAAAAGAATAAACCGGTCACGGTAGCCTAGTGGAAGAGAGTTCGCTTCGTGATCGGGAGGCCCGGGTTCGATTCTCGTTCGCGGCGCCGCGTCATACCTAAGGCGTAAACAAAGGTAGTGACTGTTCCTTCGCCAAGCGCTCGGCACTAGAAGTGAAAGTCACGGGTCTTTCGGATATGACCTTAAAAACGTAGGTCCCGTGTCACGGTAGGCGTTGGCACGATAAAGAACCGTCACTGCTCAATGCCCTTGAGTGCCGAGTATAGGTCTAAATTTGAAGCCCTTCACCGGCATCGGTGACGTCTCCATATCAGTGAAAAATTCTCAAGAGGGCCGTTAAACAACATACAATCAAAAGAATAAAGTGCAACACCACAGCATCATACGCCCATCAAAAAAAAAAATACAATTATCCTCAACAGATTAGAGTGCAAGAAAATTATGTGAAGATTTCCTTAATTTTTTTTTTCATTCCTTAAAATTTTTTTTAACCATTCCCTGTGGTGTAGGCATTGATTATAACAAATATTGAATTATTGATAGAAGTCTGTACTTGTCAAATGCCCGTCATATAAAACAATACTTGTATTACATTAATCGTAACAACCTAATCTATACCAAATTAATTTTGAAGTAAAAGGCTAGCCATCGAATGACATAAGCTACCAAGCTTTCTTCTGTCTAATTCCCATTATAGGAATGTTATAGCAAATGTCATTTCACATCTTTGCGAAGAGTTTGTATTTATATTTAGGAAACAACTCCTTTCGTTTTGTTATTTATTTCTGTGCAACAATATGGAGATAAGTCTTTAACATACACGTTATAAATTCTGGTGCTAATGGTAAGTCTGACTGAAAATCACTCAAGTTTTATTTATAGCTGTCTTCGAGAATATATCAAAGTAGGTACGTTTGTTTGTTACAAATTTTCGCAGATAAAACTGTTATGCTTTTTATGTATGATAGTTTGTTAGATGATACTGAGGATGCATTTTCAAACGAATATAATAACTTCTTACTTCACACAGTTGTCGTTCTCCTTCATTGAACAAAAGCTGTGTCACAACGAGTACCCGGTTATGTTGAAAATTTTATTCCTCTATTTTCTACAGACAAATTTTGGTATCATTATCGTATAAGCAAAGAAATGTTCGAGGAAATACTCATCAATTTTGATACCTACCTCTAATCTAACCACGTGAAGCATTGAATTCAGGATGCAATGCAGTTTAGGCAGGTGATTCAGAAGGCGGCTCAGACGGAGAATCAAATATAAGTTTGTAAATAGATTCCATAGTGTCTGAATCTGACTACCTCTGAAAACATTTTTACCTGATTGTAAACATGATGTAGTGGTCCTGGAGGAGCTGGGAACGATTTCTCTTGTAACCTCCAGACCACGTGCCCGGCAGTGATGCGGGCTGTGACGTAATCGTCACTCTACCATGCTGATTGTCGACCCGACAAGACGTGTTACATTGTCCTCTGTAAGTCATTGTGTAATTGTCACATATTATTGGCGACCACTAACGCAATAAAGTGCGGATTTTATACCATAGTATTTGCCTGTTTATTCCGCCATCAGAGTATAATTATGTAGGTACAGGAAATAATATAATGACAACCATGAAGGGAGAAATCTTGCAGTTTGTATCACTTAAAACCTAAGAGATTCCTGTTAATATGTATAGGTTACATCATAGATACCTCGTACTATTGGTTATATCGTTTTCATGGGGCGGGGAAATCGAGGGCGCGGAGCGCTCGAGATTTCCCCGCCCCATGAAAACGATATAACCAATAGTACGAGGTATCTATGATATAAGCAACTTGTCGCATGTCTGATGACGTAATTTTCATTGAGAGTGTCAAAACTCAATAATAAAAAAAATTCATTCAGCATTATGAACTAAAGATTCGGTACATTGTTCATTTCAAGCTCCAAAATGTCGGACGTTATAAATGAATTCGACTTTGACTTTTTAACAGAATTTGAGGATATTGATGACTTATCTTTTAAGTCAAGCGCTGGATAAATACGAAATAAGAAATTTAAATACCGATGAGTTAAACGATGTAAACTTTGGAGATTTTGACTTGATGCTGAAATGTGAAAATAATGAAATTCCCTGTGAAAAACGTTTTCATTCGGTGAAAAAATCCGGAAACGATGATTTTAAACAACTTATTACAAATCAGGAGAGCAAAAACACTCGTCGAAATACAAACTGGGCCAAAAGGACATGGGATGACCGGGCAGCATGGCGAAGGGACATTCCAGATTTGTCAGAAATGGGTGTTGACGATTTGAATCATTTTATATCATGCTTTGTTTTAGAAATTAGACGAAAGGACGGGTTTGAGTATCCAGCTTCTACTCTTTATCAAATTTGTGCTGGGATTTTGAGATTCATGCGTGACAACGGTGTGACTAATATGAACTTTTTAGATAACAGCGACAAACATTTTTACGATTTTAGGAAAACCCTCGATGCAAGGATGAAAGAAATATCATCAAAAGGAATCGGCCTGAAGAAAAAACAAGCAGATCCTATTTCGACTGATGATGGAAATTTGCTATGGGAAAAGGGGTTATTAGGAGGCGAAACTTCAAAATCTTTGCTAAATACAGTTTTTTACTATAACTGTTAATTATTTGGACTTCGAGGAATGGACGAACATCGATCCATCACACGAGACCAGTTTTCTTTTGGAGAAGATAATGTGGGCACATACATTGACTTTCAAGGCAAAACGTCTAAAAACTTTTCGGGGGGATTAAATCGAAGGAAGAAGCAAAAAGGATAAGGCACTACAACTCTGACGACAGATCCTTGTTTCTCATCTACAAAACCTACTTGGAACTTACGGAGACGTCAGAAGATGGGTCGTTTTACAGGTATGTACATATCAAATCTTACGATTACACCCCCCCCCCTTTTTTTAGGGGGGGGGGGGTCCTTTCCTTAGAATATCATTGTGAATTAAGTTTACTGCAAAGGTATATTTACTTGTATCGATTAAATTTATTTCAAATTAATTTCAGGCGCCCTATTGGTGGAATTACTCCCCGTTTCTCAAGCCAGGTTGTCGGTATCAATAAATTATCAACTCTCATCAAGACAATGTGTACAGAGGTGGGCCTATCCGGAAATTTTTCAACCATTCTGGAAAGAGGACCTGTGCCACTTCCTTGTATAATAGTGGGGTTGATGAGCAATTAATAATGGAAAGGACAGGTCATCGTAGTGATGCTGTACGGAAATACAAACGCACCTCTACTACACAACAAAACGATATCAGTAAATTATTGGATCCGCCCTCCAAAAAGGCACTCGTATCAGCAGATACTAGGTTTACATCTACAACCGAGCGGGAATTTGGAAAAAATCTCAAAAATGCACAAATACCGCCAGAAAACAGCCGTTTTATGTTGTGTAACTGTACTGTAACTTTCAAAATGGATTAACCTTCTGTGGTGTGACTGTACATTATTTCAAAATGGATTGATCTTTGCATCTGATTATAATACATGTTTTTTTATTGAGTTAAAAGCTAAGAAATTGCTAAATATGTTCATTTCAATTTTCTGTAGTTATAAAATTGTGAAATAAAATCATGACCTGATTTCTGCGTCCTGTAGTGATATATTAAGGGGCGTGGGAAGTATTATCGGAAATGTGATATGGGATATATCACCATAGAAAGATCTAAGAAATACACCGCAGATATGCGACAAGTATAATAAATTAAGCATATATAACGTGTGAAAACTTTTATGTCATACCACGCTCCTGTACTAAAAAATGTTAGACCTACCTCCGTTAGGTTCATTCAAAGATGTTCCAAAGTCCTTGGATACATGTATCCCCGTCCTGTGTTTCTCCTCACTTTGATTTTAACTCTTAATTTAAACAGAGCATATTAATTCAGACCTTTACCAGATTTAAGTTTGAAACAGTGAACAGAAAATAAAATATCTTACTTTGAAATGACATAACAACTAGCTAGCAACTTTAAAATTGGAAACCTGTGATAATTTTTAAAACTGTATTTTCTAAATATTTTTCAAATTGTTGTGAGGTCTCATTAAATTTATTCTATAATAAATAATCTTAATTGTGATAGCACTTTCCAAATTTGTCAGCGGGCAAACGTTCCATCTGTACAGATCTTATTTTTTGAAATATCCAGCTTATTGTTGTTCTATCGCAATATTTTTGTCTCGAATGACACAGGAAAGACCGACCGGGATACGTATATAGCTGACTGCCTTCGAAAGAGAATATAATCGATAAAAACAAATTAGTATACCTGTCTAATTAATTGAACACCATCTCAATTTCACATAATATTCATGATGTAACGATTTAGAATATCTTATCTTTAATATCATTTTTCATTAATTAATTGTTCACACATTATCTACACTTATTCTATAAATCTTATCTGTATATTAATCGCCCCTCTTATCTAACCCCCTGCTGATCGTAATTACCTGTGTATTGACTCCTGATCTTAAGGATCTTATAATGTTCTCCTGATCGTCAGGAGCGGATCTAAAGTATATATAGCGCGACTGAATGTTAGAATTAGATATATAGAAAGATAGGATATAAAGACGATATAACTGATATGTAGCGATATAGCTTTTACATGGATTATTAACTTTGCCTTTGATTTGGATTTATATGTGATTGTTTACTTGGATTTAATATACTGTGAATTATTTTTCCTGGATGTTTTTATTTGTGATGTGTTGTGTTAATAAACTGTAGAATAGACGAACTTGAGTCTGATTTCAAAATATGAGGAGAAATTAACGCTACCAAATAGAGAAATTAAAGACTGAGGACCAAATGTGAATACGGCCGCTCGGTCGGCGCTACAACTGGTGGGCAGCGGTTGGGATTCGTTCCTTCATATGATATGTGATTTTTGTGATTTTAAAATTGTGATCTGTGTGTCCGATAAGGAAAACTGTGAAAATATGAGTTCACCACTGAAACTGGCTTACATTTATGACTACGACGAATGTTGGAATTTAGTCTTGGTGCGTGTGGAAAATTTTTATTTGCGCCAGGAATGTCCAAATTGTTACAACATGTTCCTCAAAAGTGAAAATTGCCACAAACTGTTGAAAGATGGGAGAATTGTGAGCCAATTCGATAAGTGTCTAGCGTGTGGATGTAGGATTAAAACACCAACTGCGGGAAATTAACTATTCCGAAAATCTGAATTATTTTGTGTTATACGTATTATTTGTGCACTGTGCTCTTTTCTTAAAAATGTTCCAAGAACAGACTGATTATTCCACGGTAGATATGGAAATAACATCAGGAATACCTAACACTCCAAGAATCGGAGAAACTGTTTCTCGAGAGGATCACAGTGCCGTTCGCAGAAATTTGATGAATTCTTTTTGTGATGTGAATGGTATTGGGACACCATTACAAGCAAGTACTCCTCGCTATGAATCGGCGGTGGTGAAACAAAATACTGAAAATGAACAGACTTTCATGTACAAGTTTATTTCCTGGATTTTTGTGTTTATTTCTTGTGGTGCTGCTGTATTTGCGTTATACCAACATTTCCCTGGATACATGTTATTGTGCCTAACCAAGGAATTTCTAATGTGTGGAGCTCTCGTTATTCTGTGTGTATTACTCTTTACAATTATTGTGAAGGATAAATTAAATCAACGCTCAGGACACATGCAGCGATACTCTTCCCCTCAGCAGGAAAGTGCTACGTCTCAACCATATGACAAATCTACTTTATTAGACTCGCCGGTGTACAATTGTAACAGAACAGCTCAGCAAATTCCTGTAAAACGTACATATAGCGGAGATGAAACAGACATATGGACCGAGTTTATTCGCTATTTTGAGAATATAAGTGAACTTAATTCATGGGACATAGATAGGAAACGGAGAGTATTTCTTACAGTTTTGCGGGGACAAGCGGAAACTTTTGTCTACGGATTGCCAGAATCTGTGCACAACGACTGGACCCAAATTAAGGAAGCTATGGATGGTAGATTTGGACACAAAGCGATGAAAGAAAGTTACATGACGGAGGCTAAGTTGCGTAAGAAGAGAGATGCTGAATCTTTCCGAGATTTTGGACAGGCTATTCATGATTTATATCGCCGAGCTTATCCAGATAACCGAGATTACGTACAAGAAGGAAGCATCAAGACCTTTTTGGACAACTGCAGTGAAAACGAGGATTTCCGTTTAGCTGTAAAAACAACTCGTCCAAGAACGCTAAATGATGCAGTCACGTCAGTTATGCAGGAGGAGTGCATCAGGATGACAGAAAATAAGAAGAGGGATGTTAGGTATCCGAGACCGCATGTATATCATATTCCAAGTGGGACACGAAATCCAGGTGATGCCAGACCAATGAAGAATCAAATCAACAGATCATACCAGAATTATGATAGAGCAAACCAGAGAACTACCACTGTAAATGAAGACCAGGCCAAGAGAAAATGTTACCAATGTAATTCCCCATACCATGTTATTCGGGACTGTCCTCAGAGAAATGCTGGAAATAAATTCAACTTGAAGTTAAACGAGAGAGGACCGAGGCAGTAGGCCGTGCGTCGGTCGGAGTGCGCAAGAGGCCTAGTACAGATATCAATGAGTGTAACGTTTCAACTGGCATTGAATTAGGCGACAAATCTGCATCAATTGTAGAAAATCCTTTTTGTAAACCAGTACTTAAAGAAACGAAAATAAACACTGCAGAGCATGAAGAATTTACCACAAGGCGGACTAGTTCCGGAGGAAGTGAGCATGTCATACAGGGAACTCGAGGCATGAAGATTCTAGGATTGGTCGAAGGAACGCCTTTGGAATTTCAAATTGACACGGGTGCTATAAACACATTTATAACAGAAGATACGTATTACAGTATCTTGCCAGAAAATAGACCTGTACTGGAGCGCGCACACAAGAAGTTTCATTCAGCGGATGGCGGAGATTTAGATGTTCTTGGTACAGCCATAATGCTACTCTCGTTTGGTGATTTAAACATACATTTCCGAGTATTTGTGGGAAAAGTGAAATGCAACTTACTTGGACAAGATTTCATGGAAGAATTCAGGTGTATATGGAACTATGAGACTACCTCGTTAGTGCTTAGCTGTGTGCCTGGTAAGAGAAGAAACCAGATGAATGAGTACCAGAGTGATGTCTGTGGAAGATTGTGACATTCCAGCAGGACATGAAGCTATTGTGAAAGGAAGACTGGCCAGCAGAGATGTTTACGGCGAAGGAATAATAGTGCCGTTAAAGAAGTTTATACATGAGCATGGTATAATGGTGGCCCATGCTTTGATATTAGTGAAAAGTGATGAAAATGATGTGTTAGTGCGTGTGTTTAATCCAAGTGATAACGATGTGAAGGTGAAAAAGAATACCAATCTAGCACTGTTTTCACCTGTGTTATGTTCGAGTGCTTCAGTTCCGGAAAATGTGTATAATGTAAATACTACAGGAGTTTCCGAGAAATTACCGGATCATTTGTGCGACATGTATAAAGATGGGTGCAAATTCTTGTCACCTGAGCAGTCCAAAATTTTCCGACAGTTTTTAATACAACACCAAACTGCATTTACTGATCCTAAAAAGCCAATGGAAAGGGCGAGGACAGGAGAGCATTCAATTAAATTGAAAGATGACACACCATTTAAGGAACCACCGAGAAAAGTTCCGATATTCAAGAGGGAAATTCTAGATGAAGAAATTGGAAATCTACTTGCGAACGGGCTTATAGAAAAATCCAATAGTCCCTGGTCGTCTCCATTAGTTCTAGTACAGAAGAAGGACAAAAGCTGGAGGTTGTGCGTTGATTACAGGAGATTAAATACTCGCACAGTGAAAGATGCATACCCGATTCCGAGAGTGTCGGATGACTTAGACTCTCTAGCCGGATCTAAGTGGTTTACATCATTAGACTTGAACATGGCTTACCATCAAATTCCAATGAATGAAAATGACAAAGAGAAAACAGCATTTGCGACCCCAAGAGGAGGACTTTATCATTACAGAGTTATGCCATTTGGACTCTGTAATGCACCTGCAACTTTTCAAAGAGTAATTGAAAAAGCTTTAAATGGTTTACAATGGCACGTGACGGTATTATATCTTGACGACATTATAGTGGTTGGAAGAGATTTTGAGGAACACTTGAAGAACTTAAATTTAGTGATCGATCGTTTGAGTGATGCAAATCTTAAACTCAAGGCAAAGAAGTGCAATTTTTTCTGTAAAGAAGTTTCGTTCCTCGGACACATAGTATCAGAAAAAGGAATTAAAACAGACCCAGCTAAAACTAAAGCAGTGAATGACTGGACGCGTCCTGTAAATAAATCTGAATTACGAAGCTTTCTTGGATTAGTATCCTATTACAGA